GGGCCGATGCACCGGCTGGCCGGCAGCAAGCACGGGATCTACGACTTTCCGATTGGGGACCAGGAGCTGCTGGATGCGCTGCTTCTGGAGCAGGTGAAGGAGGTGTACCGCAGCCATCTGCTGCTCGATTCAAAGTCACGCAAGGTGGTATTGCCGAAAGCGCGCTGATGCCCATTCAGCTCAAGCGCGCGCTTGCCCGTGTGTGCTGTGCAACCTGCGGGTCCCGCAGATCACGTTTTACCCGAGTGCGGTAGTGGCTTTGATGTCGTGCGGTATTACTAGCGGCCTGGTTGTTGACTGCGGACACAAGCAGACCACGGTGATGCCTGTGTATGACGGCAGGCCTCTGATTCCATACATGACGTCGACGCCGCTGGCTGGGGAGGCGCTGTTTGAGAGCTTGAAATCGCTCATTAAGAAGCATGCGCAGTTTGTTCCTTTCGACGGCAATGCACGTGGCGTCGCGGTCACAGACGACATGCTGAGCGATGACGTGTGCCGCCACATCCAGACCAAAGTATGTATGTGTCGCCACTCTCGATCCCCGGCACCCTGTCAAAGAAGACTGTCGAGCTCAGCGTCGGCGAGGTCGATCCTCGGCTGGTCGAGTGGTTCGAGCAGAGTATTACTGGCAGCCCCACCATCACACTCACCATCTCCACCAAGACACATGGCCATGGTACACTGAAGATTCCGGGCTGGGTGCGCGAGCGTGCTGCTGAGGTCCTGCTGGCAGGCGATTCAACCGAGGATTGCATGGGGCTCGTTGAGGCCATTGTTGCATGCATCGAAAACCTGGATGTCGATCTGCGTCGCCCGCTGGCATCCAAAATCCTGATGGTCGGCGGTGTGTCCGATGTGCCGCACCTCCGGATCCCGGCTGCTGCACGATTTGGTAGCGAAAATGCGCTCGATTCCCAAGTGGATGGCGCTGGCTGATAATGTTGCTTCTGGCAGAGGAGAAACAGCAGACCCGCGACAATGGTGTGGTCGTCGAATCGTCGGCAAATGGGCTTATTTTCAAGTCGTCGGATCGGTGCTGGATCGGTGCCTCTCTGGCGGCAGCGTCGAAGATCGGCGGCGTGGAGCTGAAGCGCGATGACTTTGACGGATACAATGTTGCAGGACTGGACAGCAGGCATCTGAATATGCTGATATTACTAGTGTCTGTTTTCCTTAAAACACAGTGAATGATAATCTTTAGTACCCTCCATGTAGCCCATTTCTTGACAAGAGATAACGACCATGCATATATTATTGAGCAGCCCTGGTGCAGGGTAAAATCTTCGTCGATACAAGTATGAAGCAACTCATGAGATTCGTTATTTGGCACAGAACGTAAAACCTTTGTTGGCTATGGAGGAGACTGAAACTCTTGGTAGTTCTTTTAGCCCTCCACCGCTCCGATGAAAGCGGACACAGTTTAGTGCTTGTGCCCCAGTATGACGGCATCCTGACGTCTGAATAGGTGAATATAAAGAAAATCAGCACACCAGCGATTGCGACACTCGAGTCAAAAGCTGCCACCAGAGTGAACGCATATCTCCTGTAGTACCCGTACCAGTACCGGTGCACCACGTACTAGAATATAAGGCAGCCGAGAAACCAGTTAACCACCACTGTAGAAGGAGCACCAGGTAAGATAGCCAAGGAGGACAGCGCCACAGGCAGATGGATGTTGTGCCAGAAAGCTGTTTGAATATCGTCTTTGCAAGTACCACACCAGAAATGGCACACAGATGCCGACAATGAACATGTGCGGGATATACGAGTAGTTGCTTCCACTATTGAAGAGGCGGTGAGGACCAACCAGACCCCAGATCACCGACGACGCATAAAGCGAGTTGATTGGGATGCAGGACCACGTCAGATTGGTTGAACAGAAAACCGTCGATTGTCTGCATCATCCAGATTCCGACACCGCACTGCACAAACGGACATAAGAACCGTGCTGATTATCTGTGAGAGGAAGACATAGCGTGGTGGAATCTTCAGGTAGTGGGCCCATTTTGAAGTTTGCAACCAGTATTGTTGACATTCGGGGTCCAGAGTCCCCCGCGCCACCATAGACAAGGCCGAAACGCATACGTACAAAGGCCCAGACAGACGACCAGCCTTCCTTTTTTTCCCCTCAGTCATTTTGAGAAGCTATTTTTTTCCATATATTCGATATCCACTCATTCCCCAAGTTAACATGAATAACGAAAAATGGCTGATATGCGAATATGTGTGTATTTTTCGCGTAGTGCGGGTTCCGAATGAACAGTAAAGCGGCGATATCTCAGTTCAGAAGTGCAGTTGTAGTATGAGTGTAATACCAACAGATAGCGATAGAGTCAAGGATTATATTGAAGTGAAAAAAAGCTAAAGCGAAAGGCGAGCGTAAAGGTTTTATACCATTGCTCAGGTGGCACAGCCAAAAAATGAAACGATAAATAAGAAAAAGGAATTCGCAGGATGGAAAGGCTATGTGGCTCACAGTAATCGGATCTTGAGATTCTAACAGAGAGCAATACTGGCCCGGAGATTTTGCTACAGGCTTCAGCAACGCCAAGGCCAACAGGGATCTTTATGCTTACAGAACTCTGTTCCACGTGCAGATATCCCTCCACACCAGTAGACTGCTTAGTTATCACTCGTGGTTTCAAAATGTAGCTATGTTGTATCAAACAAATGTTGCCAAACTCCTTTCCTCATATCGTGATTATTCGGATCTACGTTCCCAAGGTTGGACGACGTACTTTTTGTTCAATCTAGGGATCTGGTGCCGTAAATGTATATCTAGGAAGACAGAAAAAAAGGAGGCATTGAAAGACGAAGGCAAATTGACCGGGACCTTGTACTGGCTTATGTCGATTTTAAATGGAATAGACGTGTTTGTTATATCAGTGGAAAACCCAGTTGTCCTTGTCCGAGCCAGTAAACCAGCAGCCAAAAATAAGCAGAGTTGCCTGCCACGTCTATTGTGTAGATCTTTTCTACATACATGCTGAGCAGCTTGTCATCTATGTCAATATAACTCTATGATTAGGCTGTGTAAATAGGTGTGATAGTGCCTAGTTTGCCTGGGCTAGATATAAAATTTACTAATGAGTTGTTTGATATCTATTCAATAAATCTCTTGGTCTGCTCCTTAATACGCTCAACCGCATGCTCCATTTTCTCTGTCTCCTCGTTGTCCATGTCAAGCTCAAGGACACGGTCGATTCCACGCGAGCAAATAACAGCAGGAGTAGACACATATCCGCCCCACTTGGTCGAATGGCAGCAAACGCTGCGGATATCGTGCTGGTTCTGCAGGACCGAGGTGGCCAGGATTGCGCCGCATACGCCAACGCCATAGTAGGTAGCGCCCTTGGCCTCAATGATATCGTAAGCAGTGCGGGCAATATCATGTTCGATCTTGGCCTTATCGATAGTCTGCATTTCGGGGAACTGATCGAGCTTCACCCCACCAATGCGCGCCGACGACCACCCGACGAACTGGCTGTCGCCGTGCTCGCCCAACACATGGCAGTGGATCGAGGTCTGGCGGACGTTGACAAGCTTAGCCAGATAATTGCGCAGCCTGCCGCTATCAAGCAATGTGCCGGAGCCAAACACCTGGCTTTTGGGCAACCCGGTGATGTTCTGTGCAATGCCGGTCAGGACATCCACAGGATTGGAGATCATCAGAACCACGGCATTTGGATTCACCGGCTTCAGGCCGCTCAGGATACTGTGCAGTATCTCGTAGTTGCGGTCCAGCAAACCGTCGCGCGATTCGCCGGGCTGCTGGCGCGCACCGGCGGTGATTATGATTAAATCGGCCTGGCCGGCCTCCTTCAAGTTGGCAGTGCGCACGCGGTGGCCGGTGGGCCAGGCGGCGTCGGCCAGGTCCATTGCTTGGCCGCGCACCAGCCGCTGGTTCACGTCTACCATCATGATGTCGGCCGGATAGGTGGTGTTGACTAACGAGAACACGACGCTGGCGCCTACATTGCCAGCGGAGCCGATCACGGCCACTTTGCAGCCCGGTGCCATTGACTCCTCGCGGAACAGCATGCTGAGACTGGATGAGGATGTCAGGTATGAGGGTGGGTAGACTGGGGTGTTGGAGACGAATGAGCGGGCGAGCGGTCTCAGGGCCATGGGCTGGGGGGTGGCGATTGTCGCGGATGCCCGGGCAGCCAGGCGGAAAACTGAGCGGAAGCGAGGCAGCATTCGTAAAAGTGTATTAAGCAAGTATATAAACAGAGATGGTATCCAGAGAGATGGCAGAAGAAAAGGAGAGCGGAAAGCAGCAAAAAGCACGGATGGTTTGTTTGGCGGGTAGGGAGATGGTCGAGACCCCGGGAACCTCTTTTAAAACCTAACCTCCGACCAGATCAGTGGAGGCAGGCATTGAGTATACACAGCTGTCCCCCCGCTCCCCAACCTGCGCGCAGCACAAGAGGTTTTGGTGTGCAGTTTGTGGCACACAGCCGAGTGCTACGTAGGCAGCGGATACCTCAGACGCAGGCAGGCTCTGTTCGATTTGCCGGCCAATCGATTTTGCTGAAATTCTGGCAGTTTATGTGGTCCCACTGGAAGACCAAGCGCCAAAGATCCGGAAATACCCGCCAGGGCTTCCAGGCGAAACGTGAAAAATCCTGCATCCTCTCCAGTGCAGGCAATCTGCTGCACATTGCCTGCCAGAGCCAGTTGCCGGGAGGCTGCTAAGCCACACGGAAGCTGATCTGATCGAAGCGATCACCAACGCGAATCGTCCTCCGCTGCACCTCCTCGCGTAACCTGCGCAAATAGTGCCTTTGCAGTAGCAAGGACCCTTGTTTGCTTCTCCCCACGCCCATTTTGTTCCACGCAGTTTTATCTTTCGAATTCAGTTACATTTGTTTCATTCTCCTTGCATGCTTCCCATTTGGAATTTTCTAAAGACGCTTATGCCCACTTCCGACTCCGACGCGCCTTTAGACGAAACACACAGGCATGCGTCGGTAGCTCAGCCAACACAAGCAGATGGCAGGCATCGCAAACGACCGCGGAGCCGCAGCAGCTCGCCTGACCCTTGCACTAGACAGGCAAAAGGCAGGCGGCGCAACACGGAAATGCCTGAAAGCAAGGTGTTCCGGATCTGCGGCGCGCAGGTGAGTTTTCCATACCAGCCATATCCGTCGCAGCTGAGCATGATGAACCACATGATCCGGGCCATGAATGCGGCCAAGCACGCGATGATCGAGAGCCCGACGGGCTCGGGCAAGTCCCTGGCGCTGCTGTGTGCGGCGCTGACGTGGCAGAAGGAGTTTACGGAAAAGCAGCGTGCTCTGCAGGCGCAGATCAGCCAGGTGATTGCCAGGTTCGGCAGACATAATTCGCTTAGCGAGGTGTTGAGCGAGGACAGGGCGGGTAAGTTTGCAATGGATGATGATTTTGCCCGGCCGCGGTCCCATGCGACGGGCCAGCGAGATCTCCCGGGCAACGGTGATGGTCGAGAAGACAGTGCCGTACATTCTGGGGCAAAGTGTGGACGGACAGGTGCCCAGGGGGCTGACGCAGGGCGACATTGATCTGCTCAAGGCGAACAAGGATGGCCTGCATTTGCTGGGGCGGCGGCCGCGGATATACTTTGGGTCACGCACGCACAAGCAGGTGTCGCAGCTGATTGAGGAGCTGCGCGCGAAGACAAACTACCGGCCACGGTCGGCAGTGCTGGGCAGTCGTTCGCAGACGTGCATTCGGAAGGACGTGCTCCGGGCGCCGTCGGTGGACGACCGGTGTCGCGAGATGGTGGAGAACGGCAAGTGCGCGGCATACCATCGGGTGAAGAAGCTTGTGCAGCATACTGCCCTGGCTACAGGCGGCGAGAGCCAGATCTGGAATCTGGAGGATCTGGTCAAGGTGGGCAGGAAGGTGAATGGATGCGCATACTTTGCGTCGCGCGAGCTGTCGGGGTCGGCGGACATTGTGTTCTGCCCGTACAACTACATTCTGGGACCCGGGTGTGCCGCGAGGCCGCGGGCATCATTCTGGAGGACAATATTGTGATTCTGGACGAGGCGCATAATGTCGAGAATGCAGCCCGGGATGCCGGGTCCAAGGAGTTCACCGACCAGCAGCTCAATGGCCTGGCCGGCGAATGCGCGGGGCTGATCCATCGTGGGATCCTGCCCGAAGAGCACCGGTTCGTGAATACCCTGGCGAATACGATTATCGCGCAGCAGCAGCAGCAGCAGCAGTTCGAGTACCACGACTACGAGACGCGCACAAACGTATGGCCGGGCAGCGAGTCGGTCAGATCGCTGTTCCAGCGGCTCATGCTGACCGATGAGTCGCGATCGCAATTGCAGCTCACGTACCTCAGCCTGGAGGCACACCGGAACAAGTGCCGTGAAGAGATGAAGCGGCGGCAGGAGGAGCGCAAGCAGAGGGAGGTGTTCGGGGCGGAGGGCGATGAGGAGATGGAGGAGCCCCTCGGGCATCTGTCGAACGGGTCGATGAAAATGCTGACGGGGCTATTGCGCATGCTCTCGTACTGCTGGCCAGAGTCCGAGTTCGCCAACGACTACCGCGTTGCGATGATCCGCCGGCCCAACCCGGAGCTGTTCCTGGGCTCACGGCAGAGGCGTCGCCGCAACAATGGCCTGGAGTCGACGATTCCGCCGCACATCAACGCCCTAGCGTTCTGGTCGCTGAACCCGGGCGTGATTTTCAAGGACATTGCATCCAAGGCCCGGTCGGTGATTCTGACCAGCGGCACGCTGTCGCCGCTGAGCTCGTATGCGTCGGAGCTGCAGGTGGAGTTTCTGAGCACGCTGGAGGCCAGCCACGTGATTGCCCCCGACCGCTGCTGGGCTGCGACCATCGCCTGCGGACCCTCGGGCACCGTCCTGGAGGCCAAGTACCAGACATCCGAGCAACTGGAGTTCCAGGACGACGTGGGCTCGGCCATCCTCAGCATTGCGATGAAGTCGCCCGACGGCATGCTGGTGTTTGTGCCCTCGTATGCGCTTCTCAACAAGCTTCTGGGCCGGTGGCAGGCTACCGGCGTGCGGCAGGAGCTCGAGCTCCACAAGAGCGTGTTTGTTGAGCCGCAGGGCGGATCGAA